CATAACATAAAAACATCAGGGATGACTAAATTTACACTGCTTACCTCCAACTACCCCACCTCTCGAAATGCAGTGTAGATTCAGGAGCCTGTAGAAATTTTGTCGTGGGGTAACATTTTGTCGCGAATTTTATTTTGACTCCCTGAACCCGAATATAATACCCGTTCGGTGGAAAGCATATAGCATTAAAGACTGAGCATGAGTGACCAAAGACTTATTCGCCGCTGATGCTAGGCAGTGTCAGGGGCTGGGTTTGGCGTGGCTCCAGCCCCTTCTCCACAAATTATTGTTGCTTTCCGCGCTGCAACAACTGACGGAGGCGCCACTCCAAGCCAGCCTACCTGAGACGCCCTAGGATCCGCAGCAAACCTAGGGTCGCTCAGGGGTCGAATGATCTCCGGATGCAAGTTTGCAGCTAAATATTGTCCCGGCAAAAAATGTCCGTCATAAGCTGGCAGGAATTTCGAAAGTGACCAGTAGAGGGTACATAGTGCCAGTAAACATACATAATTGAATGAATAAATAAGTAAACAAAAATAGATAAATGACGCTTTTTTCGTTCTTTACCGGCTCGCACAACTTTGTGAGCTCTGAGAAACAAAAACTCAAGGACTCAAACTTCATTGGGATACGAATAGCTACGAAGACTAAAGAGTGCTTGCATAAAAAGAAAGAAAGAAAGGCAAGGCTCTCCCTCAGCAATCAATCTCCCACATTCCTTGTTCCATCCACCGGCACGGCGATAGCTACTCCATTGTCGGCTTCCATTAGTTTTATTATATCCTCAACGACGTAAGCCACTTTGCCGTATACCGTCAAATATAAGCCTTATATAAACAACCTGTGCTTATGGCTTCAAATAACACAGGTGTCTACGATATTGTTAAGGCGAACTGCAGTAAAGTACGTCGTGACGTCATCATCGCTTCAGTGGCCTGATATTTCAACCACAGTCTCAGAGGCAGATGCCGCCCTGTTTGCATGGGCGGGGTCACCTACAGAAAACGCTTCTCAGCGGTCCTTTAACATTATAATACAGGAGAAGGTATCTGTGAGCAGGGTACATCCTCAAGATTAGCGAAAAGGCTGTGTCAATGCGAGCCTCCCCCCACCTTAGCTCATTTACCAAATCCTTACCAAATTTTTTCGAAGTTCCATCTTTGAGAAGAGGGAGTAGACGAAGCAG